TTGAGCCCAGGAGTTGGAGGTTGCTGTGAGCTAGGCTGATGCCACGGCACTCTAGCCCGGGCAACAAAGTGAGACTCTGTCTCAAAAAAAAAATAAAAAATAATACAAGTAAAACCCTTACAGCAGTGCTTGCCACATCGTAAGTGTTCACTGAATACAAGCTATTATTATTATTATTCCTAACTACCCTCCAAGTCAGTTTAGAAAAGGTCTTAATTAATGGGAGTCTCCATGGGTTAATAGCAGGAAATCTATAAAACCAGTAAATTTTTATCCAAAATTATAGGTGTCTGGGGACAAGGTTCAATATTCAGAGAACTGTGTCTCCACGGTTCTGGGAGCTGGAAACGGGCTCAGTTTAAGGGCACGGTGCTCAGTGCTCACATTTCCACGTTGGCAAAGCAAGGCTCTGAGTCACGGAGGACCAGTGTGGCCGGGGAGTGGGAAGAGCCCTGGAGTAGCGTCTCCATCTCTTCCTGGCTTCATGGCTCTTGGTCTAAATCTGAGGGCCTCACCTCAGTTGTTCTCTCTGTAAAATGGGGATGTCTGCACCTGCCTGGGGGTCCCCGGATCATCTGGAGGAATTTGAGGCATACCAGAAAGACCTTCTTTGCTCACAATGACAGTGTTGCCTAACAAGAGGTTGCGAGGGCGAGGTTGGGCCTCTGGGGTTAGAGGGCCACACTCTGGGGTTTGCAGGGTAGGCAAGAAGGTGACCTGCCGCCATCTTGTCTCTCCAGTGTACAAGGCAGATGTGGCACGCCTGGTGGCCAGGCCAGACCCCACAGCTGAGTGGAAGTCTGTGGTCATCCTGGTGCCCGTGCGGCTGGGTGGCGAGACTCTCAACCCCGTGTACGTGCCCTGCGTGAAGGTAGGTTCAGCCACATTCCAGGGTGTCTCCACCTGGGAGCCCTCCAGGCTTTTTTAGCTTGGCTTAGGGCTGCTGTTTGTGCTTCCTTCCTCCTGTCATCATTTTAGCCAATAGTTAGGGAGCACCTAGTATGCGCCACTCCCTGTCCTAGCTGCTGGGGAGTCAGAGGTGAACAGAGCAGGCAGAGATTCTGAATGTGCCCAGTAGAAGCAGACGTTCTGATGGGAGACTGCTAGGCCGTGCGTCTGTAACCAAGCTGGCGTTACAGCTTGGACTGGAAAGGGAAAAAACTAGCACAATGAAGGGCAGATGGGGGCGACAGCAGAGCTTAGGAAAGCCCCACTCGCACCAGGATGCAAATGAGGAGCCAGAGAAGTGCTGAGGCTGGAAAGACCCGGATGTATCTGCACTCAGAATAAAAGCCAAAGTTCTCCCATGGCCCACAAGGCCGTGCACCATTTTTGTCCCTGCCCACCTCTTAGACCTCGTCTCCTCCTCACTCTCTCTGCTTCAGCCAACTGGGCCTCCTCGCTGCATTGAGAACACACCTGCCTCAGGGCCTTTGCACTTGCCATTCCCGCTGCTTGGAGCACTCTTTTACCAGAAATGCATGTGGCTCTTTTAGGTCTTTTTTTTTTTAACTGACATTAATCCAAAGAAATTCTTCAGATCACCTCTCAACAGGGGCCTCTCCTGATTTGCCCATTTAAAATTGCAGAGCCCCCTTCCTTTATTCTTTTCCATAATATCATCTCCTTCTGACACACGAGATAGACAACCCACTTACTCATCTCGTTCCTTGCTCTTACCCACTCTAGAATGTCAGCTCCATGAGGGCAGGGGTTTTGTCATCTTGATCACTGCTGCCCCCGGGGCGTGGGTTCCCGCATAGCTGGCGTTTGCTGAGTTGCCTGAGAGCACCTGCCTCGGCTCCCACCCGCTCTTTCCTTGCAGGAGCTCCTGCGTTCAGAGCTGTGCCTGGGCATCATGGGTGGGAAACCGCGGCACTCACTGTACTTCATTGGCTACCAAGGTAGGCCCCGCCCCATCCCTCCCCACCTCCTCTTCCTTCCCTGCCCCCACTCACACCTGCCCCCCTGCAGATGACTTCCTGCTCTACCTGGACCCCCACTACTGCCAGCCCACTGTGGACATCAACCAGGCTGACTTCCCCCTGGAGGTGAGCTGGGATCCCAGGGTGGATGGGGGCCTGGGGAGGGAGCCAGGGCCTCTGAGCCACCCTCATGTGTCTGCCCAGTCCTTCCACTGCACCTCGCCCCGCAAGATGGCCTTCACCAAGATGGACCCGAGCTGTACCGTGGGCTTCTATGCTGGAGGCCAGAAGGAGTTTGAGACGCTCTGCTCAGAGCTGACCAGGGTGAGCAAGAGGAACGGAGGAGAAGGGTGGGTGGCGGGACAAGGGCAGGGAAGGGGGTGAAAGAGGAACACAGACCTCGAGTCCAGCAGACGTGGGGGCGCTGCTTCCAGGCCGAGTGTCATGGTCTGGGAAATGACATGAATAATAGCCACTTCTGAGAACATGAGGGAATGCCAAGGCTGACTATTCAGTCAAGGTTATCCTGCACACAAGCTACAAAAGCCCAGTTCTAACTGATTGCACCAAAAAAGGGGCATGTAACCAAAAACTTGGGGGCATTGTTACCTTGGGGACAGCTGCATCCAGGGGCTCAAGTGGTAGGACCCATCTGTCTCTTGGCTCTGCTCTCTAATCAGGGCTTTATCCTGGCGGTGGCAAGAGATGGCCTCCAGCACCTCTGGGCACCCCCCCTTCCAGTTCATTGGAAAGGGGACTCCACTTTTACAGTAACTCCAGCAAAAATCCCAAGGCTGTCATTCATTGGTCGGCTTGGGTCACATGCTTACCACTGAGCCAATCACAGTGGCTAGGGGATGGAAGGTGCTGATTGGCTGGCCCACCCTGGAGAGGTAGGTGCTCAGTATACCTAGTAGGACGATTAACATGGCATGCTCCCTGTGTTTGGGCCTCCTCCCACCAGGTCCTCAGCTCCTCCTCGGCCACAGAGCGGTATCCCATGTTCACCCTGGCCGAAGGCCATGCTCAGGACCACAGCCTGGATGACCTCTGCTCCCAGCTCTCCCAGCCAACGCTGCGGCTCCCTCGCTCAGGGCGGCTCCTCAAGGCCAAACGCCCAAGCTCCGAAGACTTTGTGTTTTTATAAAAGGAGGGGATGGGGGGAAAGATGCATCACTATTTATTTTTTTATTTATGTCACGGTGGGTGTGGGCACTTGAACTCTGGCAGTGATGGGATTTCCTCTTCTCAGCCCCCAACAAGCCCAGCTGCAACCAGTCTAGGAGACCACCAGGCTGGGGCCATTCAGCCAGGGACAGCGCCCGTGCCCCTGCCTCCCACCAGCCAGGCCCTCCTGGCAAGGCAGAGAGGGAGGGCAGACCCCCAGGCACCCACTCAGGGCCTGACTCAAGTACTGTAGTTTGCACTGGACCGCTCAGGCCCCTGGCTGGTCCCGAAGCCCCTGTCCTAGGGGAGCTGTGGCCACCGGGGGGCTAATAAAGCTGTTTGACTTGAACGTGGCTGTGGCTGGGCTTAGCATTCTGAGGGGACGTGGGGTCCAGGAGGTGTCTCAAGGTGAGGTTTCCGAGTCGCTTGGGTAAGTTTGTGAAGTAGGCCTCAGTTTCCACATCTGTAGGATGGGCTGATCGCCTTGCCCAAGGTAGACGTGAGGTTCTGGTGGCAGATAGTCTTCGTCACTAGAAAGGGGATCCGTGCCGGGGCTTGATCTGCAAGGAGGAGCGGGGGCCCTGCCTGCTCCTTGGCGCTCAGGAGCCACCCTTGGGCCTCTGCTGCTTCCTCTGCTGCCGGCCCAGCTGGCGGAAGTGCAGCCGTCTGGGGTTGAGCCCAAAGGCCTGCAGTCTCTGGCGGCTGAACTCGCGCCCACTGAGTGTCACCGTGGGGCCCAGCAGCCGTGCCTTCTTGCCCCTCTTCCGCCTCTGGGGGGCTGGCTTCTGGGTGGGTGACACAGGGGCCTCCTCTTCCTGTGCTGGGGGGCTCTCAGGCCGGGGCCGCTTCCTGCAGGCCGCATCAGGCACCGCCAGCTGCTCCTGAGGGACACCCTTGTCTCTCTGTGGCTTCCCTGTGGCCTCTGTGGGCGTCTCTGTCCTAGAGGAAAAAAGTCAGGGCTCAGCCCGGGCTGGTTATGATTAGGCTAGTTCCTGGGCACAAGTGTCCCGTTTCACAGATGAGGAAAGGAGGGACACAGCCAGGCGGCAGCAGCGATTCACACACCTGCCTTGGATTCAAACCCAGGTCTGATGCCAAAGCCAGGGTATTTGTTTTGGTTTTTTGTTTGTTTTTGCTAATTTTGTTTGTTTTGGGGGTTTTTCTTGAGATGGGTCTTGGGATCTCACTCTGTTGCCTAGGCTGGAGTGCAGTGGCACGATCTTAGCTCACGATAACCTCGAATTCCTGAGCTTAAGCGATCCTCCTGCCTCAGCATGAGTAGCTGGGACTACAGGCATGTGCCACCACGCCCCGCTAATTTTTCTGTTTTTTGTAGAGATGGGGTCTCACTATGTTGCCCAGCCTGGTCTCAAACTCCTGGGCTCAAGCGATCCTCCCGCTTCAGCCTCCCAAAGCCCTGGAATTACAGGCGTGAGCCACCGCACCCAGCCCAAAGCCAGGACTTTTCTACTGAATCCGAAGGCTGGATTGTGGTGCTGATAATTCTGGTATTTGTGCCTGAGTCTACACTCAGCTACTCCTGTAAATTAACTCAATTTAGCTTTAAATCAGCTCTGTAAGCTTCTGTCACCCTTGCCTTATAGCCTGGGAAACAACAATGGCAGTAACAGCAGAGGCCTAGAGGGTATTTACTACCCCTTATCTCTACCGGAACTAACTCATCCTCCGCAGCCTAGTGAGCAACAACCACCTCTCTCTCCATCTTATAGGTGAGCAATAGGCCCAGAGAGGGGCAGGGACTTGCCCAAGGTCACACAGCTATGGCCCAGCCAGTATTTGAACCCACGTCTCAGAGAGACCCAGGCTCCCTCGAGGTCACATAACAAAGTCACATAACAAGGGGCTGCCAGAGCAAGACTGAACCCCGGCCTGGCGGGCTCCCGTCCCCCAACCCCCACCAGCGATGCTCACTCTGGGCACAGGGACTTGAAGATCTGCCGCTTTTTCCAGGAGTTCTGGGCCTTCTGGCTGTACGCCCTCTTGTCCTGCAGCTCTTCCTGCTCCGACCTGCAGGCGCCCGCAGACACTCCCCTCACTGGGTGCTCTGGGAGGTGCCCGCGCTTGCCCGGCGGCCCCCCCACCCCCACCCCGGGGCAGCCAGCCCCGCCCGTCACCTGTACATGCAGGTCTTCTTCAGGGAGCACCACCGGTTCAGTTCCTTGTCGTCGGCAGCCAGGATCTGCGTGGGAATGGAGGGTGATTCCCGGGCAGCCCTGACACTGAGCCTCAGTCACCTCATCGCCCAGAACAGGATGACGCCCGGACCACCCAGCAGGGATGTCACGATGGCCAGAGAGAAGGGCCTCTGCAAAGGCCCCCCAGTGTTTTCTGCAGGGGTCGCAGGTCAGGAAACTGAGGCTCAGAGAAGGGATGCTTGTCCTAGGTCACACGGCCAGGAAGTCGGCTGACGGCAGATTCCAGTCGGAGCCCCAAGGCCCTCGAGTCCCCACCTGTACCCTGCCGTCCCCCAAAGCCTCCGGACACAGCAGGGTCTCCGCCAGCCACCGGACTTATTAATCCCAGCTAAGGCTCACATTCCCGATCTCTTATGCCATGGGCAGCCCCACAGAACCTACTGGAAGGTTGTCAGGAGGACTAAGTGACTGAATGTGGATGGTACTAGCTCAATAAACATCAGCTATTTTACTGACCGTTAGAATAGTGAAGCACCCTCTGCCGTCATCACTGAGGGACAGTGGGTGCTCGTGACCTGCCAGGCACCATTCAAAGAGCCACACACGTTTGATTTCATTTCTGCTCCATGGCCATGAGGTGGGACAGAGTCTTGCTCTGTCACCCAGGCTGGAGTACAGTGGCCCGACCACAGCTCACGGCAGCCTCAGACTCCCGGGCTCAAGCCATCCTCCTGCCTCAGCCTCCCAAGTAGCTGGGACTACAGGCATGAGCCACCACATCCAGCTAATTGTTTTTGTTTTTTGTAGAGACAGAGTCTCGCTCTGTTGCCCAGGCTGGTCTCGAACTCCTCCTGGCCTCAAGCGATTCTCCCACCTCAGCCTCCCAAAGTGCTGGGATTATAGACATGAGCCACTGCACCCCGCCTGCCCACCAAGTCTTAACGGCCACCCTGGTGCTGATCTACCGTGATGGAACTACAAGGGGTATACACAGGGCACTGTTCTAAGCCCCCTGCCTCACAGAAGCCCTTTGAGGCAGGTAATAACACTGTACTGTCATTAGGAAACAGGCTGCTGTTTTGTGGCATTTCTGTGTAACATAGACCAGGGCCCGGGGACAGCTCTCTGCCTCCTCTTGCATATAGGGTGCCGCCCAGTGTCCCCGGCCCCCCAGGGCCCCACCTCCTCGGTGCTGAGCCCGAAGTCGCAGGGCACCACGGTGCGGTACTTGAAGCGACAGGGCAGGTCGTCAATGATGTCCTCGTAGTCCAGCCGGTAATACTCATCCAGGTACTCCTGGAACGTCTTGTCCCCTGCACAGGACGGAGCCAGGCTGCTAGGGAGTGCCAGGCACCGTGGAGACCCTGGGTCACCCACAGCCCGCCCACCTGGGCCTCACCAGGGTCAAACACGGGCTTTTCCTGCCCCACGGCCGCGGCGAAGGGCGACTTGCGCTTCTTCTTGCCCGTGGAGGGGGCCTCGCGCTTTTTCTTCCGCTGCTGGCTGGGGTCGTAGTCAGCGTCCATCTGCCAGGACACGCAGGTCAGATCCAGCCAGCCTTCAGCCAGCGTCCCCGGGACCCTCTGAGGTCCCCTGGAATCCCCCAACCCGTGGTCCCTACATTGAAGTCGGGGTCCTCGCAGTGCGGCTCCTGCTGGCTCCAGGCTCCATCCTGGTCTGTCCCGTCCCAGCTGTCCCAGTTCCAGTCATCTGGTTCCAGAGAGGACAGACAGGCCGGGTCAGGGCGGGACCTTGGGCTACAGGCCCAGCCCCCACGCACAGCCCAGTGCCTGTCCGCCCTCACCTTCAAGCCCTTCCTCTTCCTCAAATCGTGGCTTCTCCTCCTCTGCGGTGCCGTAGTACTCGTCCCCGAAGCATTTCTGCAGTCACAGTTGGGAGCTCAGGCCCCATGATGCCAACAAACCTCTCCCCCCTTTTTTTTCCATAGGGACAGGGTTTCGCTCTGCCGCCCAGGCTGGAGTGCAGTGGCCAGATCATAGCTCACTGCAGCCTTGAACTGCCGGGCTCAAGCGATCCTCCTGCCTCAGCCTCCCAAGTGTCTGGGAGTACAGGCAGCACCACCATGCCTGGCTAATTTTTAAATTTTTTGTAGAGACAAGGTCTTGCTATGTTGCCCAGGCTGGTCTTGAAGTCCTGGCCTCAAGCAATCCTCCCACCTCGGCCTCCCAAAGCACTGGGATTACAGGCGTGAACCCACCATGCTTGGCCCCAACTAAACTTTCACACGGAAATTGGCTACCTCCCAATCTTTCCTTAGGAGAGTCCTAAGGCAGATGCTATAAGTGGATCTGCTGCACAGAAAGAGAAAGGGGCTCAGAGAGGTCAAGCCACTTCTCTGAGGCCACACAGTCTGGAAATGGCCCCTGATTCCAGAGCCCCGTTTCTGAGGACTCGGCGTCATGGCGGAGCCAGGGCGAGGGGACGCACCTGCATGAGCTGGTCGTGCCGGGCAGGGTCAAAGTCATCCTCGAGGTCCCCCTCCTCGAAGCCCAGCGTGTCGTTGCCCGTGACCTTGCGCAGCTTCTCCAGCTTGGCCAAGATCTCCCTCCCCTTCAAGTTCTTCAGCTGCTTCAGCTCCTCCCGCTTCTTTGCTTTCTCCTGCGGGGCCAGGGCGGCGCGGAGGGCAGGTGTGGGCTTTCCTGGTGGGCTGGGGGGGTCCTCCCTTGCCGGCCGCCCCCATACTCACCCTCTTCTTCCGCTCCCGCGTCTCCTCCCTCTTCTCCTTCCTGCGCTCGTCCTTGCGGCGCACGGAGGACGCGATGCTACGCGGGTAGGTCTTGACCTGGGGGCAGCAGAGAAGCCCGGGAGGGCAGCTGAGATGAGATGGGGCCCCCCACGCCAGCCTGGACCAGTGGGGGCCAGGTCCCCCCCAACCCGGCCACCCACCGAGGCCGAGTCGGGCTCCTCGAAGCGGAAGTTGTACTTGTGCTCGAAGTCCTCCTGCTTCTTCAGAAACAGCTCCCCCTCGTCTGAGGAGTCTTCCACAGCCAGCTGCACTGGGGTGACCCTGGGGAACAAGATGGGGCGAGGCTGGGGGCCAGGCCAGCTAGGTCGGGCGCCCCACTCCTGCAAGCCTGCACACCACACGTGCGAACTCATTTCATCTTCCAAAGAACACTATGGCAAGTGTGTGCTACCATTCTCCCCATTTTACAGACAGGGAAACTGAGGCATGAAGTCTAACAGCAGGACCAGGATTTCAACTGGTGCCATCTGGCTCCAGAGCTCACAATCTGTGGCTCTACGTCACAGGAGACTAACTCTGCTACCGTCTGTGCGAAAAACATAAACACACGTGGCCTTTTGCCTCTGGGCCAGCGCTGGCTGAGAGTGTCATAGGAAGGGGGCAGGAGATCCAGGCCCTTGGGGGACATGGTGGCTCACCCTTTCTCCTCCTCCTCCTCCTCCTCCTCCTCCTCGTCCTCATCTCCCTCCTCCTCATAGCGTTTGTTGAGGATATAATCACGCAGGAATCGCTCCCCCTCCTCCAGCTCTGGGTCATTCCAGTACTCCTTGAGATGGGTCTAGGGGGTTGAGGGGGTGACAGGACCCAGGTCACGCGCTGGGGGATGGGGAAGGAGGGCGAGCATGGGCACCAAGTGGACACAGCCAGCCTCTGGAGTGGATGTTATCCCCATTTTAGAGACGTAGAAACTGAGGCACGGGGACGGGCACACCTCATCTTCAGAGCGTGCGCTCTTGGCTCCCCCACAAGGGTCGCTTTCTGGAAAAAGTCCAGATAGAGGCGGAAGAGGTAGTTTAATCTGTGAGCAATGACATGGGAGAACTCACCAGTTCCTCCAAGGACTCAGGGCTCTGAAGCTCTTTGTGGCCCTTCAGCCACTCCATGTAGTCAGCTTCCTCCTGCGCCTGGGGGACAGCCAGCGCTGTGGGACCCCCAGCTGCCCGCCACCCCCCACCCCACCAGTCCGGCCAGGCCCCAGGACCCACCTTCTCCTCCCTGGTTTTAGCACGTTTCTGCAGCAGCCCGGAGCCACCCTCCCCAGCACTGTCCTCATCCTCGCTGTCCTCCACGAACGCCCGGAAGCTGCCCACACCAGGAAAGGAGACTCAGGACAGGCAGGCTGGCCACCACCCGCTGCCCCCACATCAACCCTGTTTACTAAGCTCTCAGTGCTCCTCCCAACAAGCTCAGAGCAATGCTAGGACCGTTATTAGCCCCATTTAACAGATGAGGAAACTGAGGCATGGAGATAGCAAATGATAGAGCTCAGTGTCCATTGGGCCACTCACTGCGGCCTAGCCTTACCCTTCCTTGAGCTGTTTCTGTTCCTCCACGTAACTCTGAGACGAGGTTCGCTGCAGAGGAGAGAGTGACGTGGGCCTCAGGCCAGCCCGGGGCCCCTCAGCCCCCCACCCAGCCTCCACCCCACCCACCTGGAGTCTCTGATTGGAAGTCTCCACATCGGAGTTCTCCTCGTCAACATATTTGCTGTGCAGGGAAGGAAGGAGTCCTTAGAACATACTGTCCCTGTCTCGCCTAGCCCCATGGGGTTGGGGCATTGTGGGGTCACCGAGACCCCTGCTTTGAAGGGTTCCCTCAGCTGGGCATGGTGGCTCATCCTGTAATCCCAGCACTTTGGGAGGCTGAGGCAGGAGGATCACTTGAGGCCGGGAGTTTGAGGTTACAGTGAGCTATGATCGTGCCACTGCTTGCCAGCCTGGGTGGGTGCAGGGGTACAAAATAAATAAATAAATAAGGGGTCCCTGGATTCTGTGGAGTCACTGGCCTTTTCCTGCCTCTGCCCCCTAAGACCCTTGTCCTGGGAAGGCTGGGGGCCAGAGGGTGGGGGCACGGGCTTTCTCCATACCCTTCCTTCTCCAGGATAACCTTCCTCTCGTAGTCCTTCAAGTACATGGGCCGCGCTTTCTTCTGTTTCTCTGAGGCCGCTGGCTCCTCCTCGCTCTCCGAAGAGGATGCTGTAAGCCGGCAAGAAGACGCCTGCCATCACCCACCTCCTCCTCCCCGCCTTGGCAGAGAATCTCACAGAGCAGGGCCTAGGTCAGACAGAGGTTTCAAACCCCCAATCTGCCAATTCCCAGCCGTCTAACAGGTATCACACTTGCCACCACCTGGTGGCTTTGGGATCGTTCAGCGAGCAATTTCCGCTCTGAACGGTGCCAAGCACACGGTCCTTTTTTTTCTTTTTTGAGACAGGGTCTCCCTCTGTCACCCAGGCTGGAGCACAGTAGCCCAATCACAGCTCACTGCAGCCTCCAACTCCTGGGCCCAAGTCTCCTGTCTCAGCCTCCTGAGTAGGTGGGACTACGGCACCCAACCACACGGTCCTTATTAACCCCACTGCCAAGTAATAACCTAAGGCGCTCTGCTAAGCACTTGTGTCGTCGTTCATTCAATAGTCACGACAACTCACTGAGGCACTGAGGGAGGCGAGGCTCAGGGAGGGACAGCCCCAGACCTGTTCTCTGATAGAAGGTGGCATCTTTCTGATAAATGCGGGGGTCCTTCTTCTTCAACAAGGAGAGTGTCCTGTAAAAGTCTCGTTCCTGCTGGGGGTCAAATTCCTAGGGCAGGAAAAGGGGTGGGGAGTGATTTCGGAGGGGGAGGCAGTAAGAGCCCTGGTGGGTGCTGGGGACTGGGACAGGTGGGCTGAGAGGGTGTAGCGATTAGCAATCACTGTGCAGAAAGGCAGGTGGTCAGACCGCAGGAGGAGGAGCTGTCCTCTTGGGGATGGGCAGGGGCTGGCCACAGGTCGGTACAGGATGTGGGCAGAGGAAAGAAGGGGGCAAGGAAAGGGCACTTCCCGGGAAAGACAAGGGACTGTCAAGGGGCAGGTGGGTGGGGAGGGCACATGGAAGACAGGGGGGCAGGGCAGAACATCAGGGCAGATGTGGAAAGAAATTGTGCCCCACGTGGCGCAAGGAGGAGTACCCGGAAAAGTGGTTAGATTCTCGGGGATGAGGAAGGGAGGATTGGGGGCTCCTGGGGGGCTGAGGGGTCGCCCCACACATCAGGATGGGCAGGTGGATCCGTGGCAGGGGAGGGAACATAGGGGTTTGGGGCCATCCCTGGGGATCTGGAGGGCGCTGTCAGCCACTCAAGGGATTGGGGGAGCGGAGGTTGGACGCTCCCGTGGGGCGCCCCGGGGGTGGGAGTTAGCTGCCCCCTGTACATCGGGGTCGGGGTGCAGTGGGGGACTTGGACGCCTAGGCACGTCCGGGAAGGGGACAGGGAAGCGCACCACGCGCTCGTCGCTTGAGTCAGACTCGGAGCTGGAGTCGTCGCCGCTGTCCCGGTCTCCGTAGCGATCCTTCACTGCAGGGCACAGACGGGACGCCCCCCCACAGCAGATCAGCCTGGGGGACCAGAGCAACCCCCACTTCCTGACGGCCCTGTGCGTGCCGGCGCCCCCGCGCATGCGCCCCGCACTCACGCCGCTGCAGCTCCTCGCGCTCCCGGTAGCGGCCGTACCGCGCGGCGAACGCCGAGTTCACCCGCAGCGGCGACGCAGCGCGCGGCTCCGGCATGGCGGCTCTGCGGCCCACTGCGCAGGCGCGTGGAGCAGGCCCTTGAATGGGAGGGGCTGAGCCCGGTCCAGCCCACCGCGAGTTTTAAAGGGGGCAGGGCCGACGATAGCCCCGCCTCTGACTTTTCCGGGATCCCTTTCACTTTGCGAAAGCAGTGTCCCCGCCCACGCGTCACGCCCCTGCGGGGAAGGCCGCGGCCACCGCCCACCCGCCCCACCCCCGGAGCTCCGGGCACCCAGCTGACATCTGGGGGCCCTTTCTCCACTCGCGGTTTCCTGCCTCCCTTCCGTTCCGACGGAGCAAACCGCTGCCCCACCCAGCTCACTCACCCTGGCGCCCTGGGAATAGCCACTCTCTCCCCTCCCCCACAGCGTCCACGATCCGCGACCCCCCGTGCTCATTCCCACCAACATCCATCCTGGAGGAGCGACTTCCCATCCCAGACTCAAAAATCGGCAGCCACCCGCGGTGTGATCAGGCACAAGTCTTAATTTAATGGGTAAAAAACATTAAATTATCACACGCAACAACTTTTCCATAAAGCATAATAAATAGAATCTATTTCTTTTAAAACGCTGTACAAGAGACTGGAAAAAAAGCTTCCAACAAAATATGAATGAACTCATGCTACCCTCTTATGGATTTGGAACCATTCCCCCCACCCCCATGCCCGAAGCAGTGGGCACACTTCAGGTCACTCTGAGCACAGCCCCAGGTCGCTAGGTTCCAGGAGCCCTGGAGACAATGACCTTAATATGGGGCTAAGGCTTTAAAAGCTCTGCCCATGGGTCTTGTTTGTGGCCCCAGCAGGCTGGGGCGCAGAGGAAACTGAACCGTTTAGGTAGCTGTTGCCTGCAGGAGCCCTTCTCTGTCCAACACACCAAAAGGGGTGAGAAAAACAAACGAGAAACGTCCCCCAAACACACGCACCCCAGAAATCAACACCAATAAAGCCACAAACTGGTGCTCCTCCCCCGCCTGGAGGAAGAATGAGAAGAGAAAGTGTTTCTTCTCTCCTCTTCTGATTTTTAACCCAGCAGGGTTCTCTTGCTGGAAAGGGTGGCCCCAGGTCACAGTGGGGCCACCATGTGCCCCTGCAGGATGTCCATGAGGTCCTGAGCCCCCCTCTGCCGTGCCAGCTCCAGGGGTGTGAGCCCCCTGGCGTCCCTGTGCTGGAGATCGGATTCAGCTGCCAGAAAGCCGACCACATCAGTGTGGCCCTCCTGCACCGCCAGATGGATGGGGAGTGCCCCAGTGCCGTCAGGTGCGTTGACATCGGCGCCATGCTCCACTAGGACCTTCAGGGTGTCCAGGAATCCAGTACGGGCTGCGTCATGGACTGGACTGGTACCAGAGATGTCCTGGACATTGGGGCTGGCACCTTGCTTCAGCAGCTCCACGGCGATGGTGGTGCTGCCAAACATCATGACCTGTGTGGGGTCAGAGGGTCAGGAGGTCCCCAAGGGAGGGGATAATAAAAGGGGGCTCACTGGAGAGAGAAGAGAGAGGGGTCTTCCAGGCATAGTGGCCGCTGGAGAAAGGGTCCTCTTAGAAACTTGAGAAGCCCCAGGGAAAACAAGTCCACAGTAAGCTGTTTGAGATCCCTGGGAACAAGTTCTCCTGAGAATAGGGACCCTAAGAAGCTGGTCAGTCCCTTGAGAATAAGATGGGACCCCCCCCCAACCCAGAGAATAGCCCCCATGAAAACGTTTCAGGGACCTAAGACCCTCATACGAAACCCCCTCCAGGAAATGGGCCCCCACAGACTGAGAACTACCTCCAAAGAACTTGGCAGTCCCCTCAAGGGCAAGGATATGCCCAGGGAATTTGAAACCCCCCTCTTTATGGAATAGCAGCCTCCTATGTAATGGGGGAAACATCGGGGTACCTGAGCCACGCTCAAGACATGGGGTTCCCCTGTAAAATGTCCCCCAGGGATATGGGACTCATGGAATGTGACAGCATTGTGCCGCTGTGGCCCCCACAACATACTAAGAATCCACACAACCCTAGGAGTGAAGAACCACCCCCCCGCAAGTAACTGGATACGTCTCAGAGAACCCCCTAGAAAATGGGGGCCCCAAGGGAGACATGAATCCTTCTTTCCAGAGATCGGATCTCCCCATAGAAGCCCCAAGAAACCTGAGCCATCCCCATGGAAACGGGATCCAAAGAAGCTAAATCCCACCCACGAAATAAGCTCCCCAGGGAAAATGAATCCCCCACATGGGGAGAACAAGGGATCGTCCAGAGAAGATGGAAAGCTCTCCCCTCCCCCCAATCTCACCTCACCCACCACCCACCTACGAAAGGGGACCCTGAGGAACATCAGCCCAGAGAAGGAGGACTGGCCCCCAGGGGGTCACCACCGGAGCCAAGAGACGAGAGGGAAGGGGGTCTGGGGTCTGGACACTCACCCCGCTCCCCCGCCCCCTCCTTGCCCCGGGCCGGCCGGGCCTCACCTGCAGCGCGGTCTTGCCGAAGCGGTTCAGGGCGTCGGGGTGCACCAGCTCGCGGTGCAGAAGGCGGCGCACCTCCTGCACGTCGCCCCGGGCCGCAGCCCCGCTCAGCCGGTCGCCGGCGCGGACCTCCTCCAGCAGCATGTCGACACTGGCGGCCTGCGAAGACCCCCGCCCCACCCCGGCCCGGTCAGTGCGGAGGAGACAGCGGACGCTGGCCCCTAGCGGCCCTCCCGGGGCTTGGCCGCAGCGCGTCCGGCCTGCGCTAGACTCCTGGCCCCGCTCGCCAAGTCCGGGACTCCGGCGCGACCCCCGCCCTCCCAGCCGGCTCCTCCCCCTGTCAGCCGGCGGCCGGTGAGCTCCTGGGAGCCGGGGCCCAACCCTCGGCCGCTAGCGGGGCCCACCCCGGCGCCCGCCCCTTGGGGGCCGGGTCTCCCTCCAACTCACCCTCCCTCCTCCTCGGCGGGCGGAGTCTGCTCTGAGCCTGCGCCGCAGCGGCCTCCGAGTCAGCCGCCAGGGGGCGGAGCCCGCGCGCCCGCGGCCCCGCCCCGAACGCCGCCGATTTGTTTTCTTACAAACTCGCTACATCGTAGCCGAGCCGCCTTGCCCGGCGACCGACCTTACGGAGCCCCGCCCACACGGCCTCCGCAGCCAATGGCTGCGCGTCGCTGGGGAGGTTTGCGCTCAGGCGTGGGCGGTACCGCTCCTGATTGGCCAGTACGCGGCGACCGGTGGACTGCCAGCAATGGCGGGGTTTTTGGTTTTCAAACGCGCCGGGCGGGCGGGAAAGAGGGCCGGTTTAACTGACCCGAGGGAGAAAGGTCAGGAGCAGGGTAGCGCGGTCTGCTCCGGGACCTCGGCGCCCCCGGGGGGTAGGGAGGCATGGCTGGCGCCACCCAGGCCGGGGTTCCACCGTGCTAGCATTCGCCAGCCCTTACCATGCGCGGGGCGCTGCGTCTTATTCATTCACTCCCCGTGCGTGGGGACCGTTCTGGGCGCCTGGGAGCGCCCATTCAAGCCACTAAATAATTTTAGGTAGTGTTAAGCACCATGAAGAAAAGAAAAGGGGGAAATAGGATGGATGAGGAAGGAATTACCCTTCCTGGCTCCGACTGAACCAGCCCTGGTGAGGAGGAAGGTTGACCTGCAGCTGCCACGTGGGCCAGAGGTGGCTCCAGAGGCCTTCCTTCAAAGATTGAGCACCTCCTGGAGGTGCCCAACTGGAGGGCGGCCCCTGCTGCAGGACACCTACAGTCTAGCGCGGAAGACAATAATTAAATTTTTTCAGAGTGGCAAACTCTGTGGAGCTGATAAAACAGGCTAAGTGAAAGTCCCTTGGGAAAGGAAAGCCATTGAAATAGGGAGGTCAGACAGGGCCTCTCTGAAGAGGTGACATTTGACTGGGGACTTGAAGGGCAGGGAGGGAGCCTTGTGGATATCTGGGGAAAAGCAAGCCAGGTGGAAGCTGGTGACTGCCTGCCTGGTGTGGTATAGGAGGGGAGGATGAGAAGAGGGGAGGACGGGCGGAGGAGGAGGTCATTGTGCAGATCAGCCCTGAGGGCTGCACGAGAACTTGGCTTTAACACAAAGGTAGGAACCACGGAAGCGTTTTGAGCCGTGATCTAACTTAGAAGTCAACAGGAGCCCGGTGTCTGCTAAGGGGGGAACAGGGGACGGGGTGGAGGTGGCTGCCCTGGCCCAGGTGAGTGATGGCTGGTGCTGAGGAATTGATGTGTATTGGCCACTCCCATCCCAGCACTGCAGGGATGTCCCCGGCAGCCCCAGTCCCCAGCCAAGAAGCACATACATGGCAGGTAATTCATCTTTTTAATAACATCCTAAAACTCAGAGAAGTGGGCCAGCAGGGCCCTCTGGGCTCAGCAGCTGTGAAGGAGGAGGGACCCCCGACACCCCTTAAGGCAGGTCATTGTAAGAAGGCACTCATGAGGGGGCCTTCAAGCCCCTCTTGGATTTCTTCATATAAAATTCAGGGGTGGGGGAGGCGGAGAGACCATCCCTCCCAGGCTACAGATAAAGGAAGAGTGGAGAAGGGGGCAGGTGCTGGGGGCGACAAACTGCTATGTCAGGGACCTGCTCTCACACAGACACACACACACCCCACCTTCTCTCCCTCTCTGCAATCTGCAGCGGGGCCTTGGTGGAAGGAGGCCCCACATTCAAGCCCCCACCTCTTCTTGCTTCTTCTAGCTGGTACGAAGTTGATAATCTGCAGGGAAACGATGACCAGGCAGCATCTCAGAAGTGGGGGGTGGGGAGAGAGGGACAGCCCCCCCAAATCCATCCCCTGCCACAGTGCTCATGACCGACCTTGGGAGCACACAGGTACTGAAACCATAGCAACAAGCTGGTTTCCAGGCAGCGGATGGCAGTGCTATGTGTTCAGACCCTTGTCCAAACCTCACAGCCACCCTAGAGTTGGTGACTGCCCTCATTTTATTTTTTTTAAGTTTTTCAATTTAAAAGAATTTTTTTCAGAGATAGGGTCTTGCTCTGTCACCCCGGCTGGAGTGCAGTGGCTCAATCATAGCTCACTGCAGCCTCACACTGCTGGGCGCAAATGATCCTCCGGCCTCAGCCTCCCAAGTAGCTGGGACTACAGGCGTCCACCACCACACCCGGCTGATTTTTCTATTTTTTGTAGAGACTGGGTCTCGCTCTTGCTTATGCTGCTCTGAAACTCCTGATCTCAAGCGATCCTCCCACTTCAGCCTCCCAAAGTGTTAGGATTACAGGCGTGAGCCACTGCACACCACCATGTACACCCATTTTAAAGATGTGCAAACCAAGGCTCATGTTGGTATGACAAGGAGGGACGGACCTGGGCCAGGCCTGTTGAGTTTTCTGAGCCATAATGTGGTCAGAGCCCCAAGTCCCTACCCCCTTCCATCTCCTTGACCCTGTCATCTGAGGGAGCTGGCTGCCTTACCGCCACTCTGGGTGATGTAGCGAACCCAGGGCAGAGCCTGGTAACCGCTTTTCTCAATGATCTTCATGTACCGGACCTGGGAGGGAATGAGAAGAGGTGGTCCAGGCTTGCGGGACTGAGGTAACCAGGACCAGGGAGAAAGAGGTGGCTTAGGCCAAGGGATTATAGGCGGCACGATTTAGGAGCCTAAGACAGCACAGGCTGGGAGTAATGGGGTGATGTGGCATGAGTGGGGGAGGGGAGGCGGTCCAGGACAGTGGGGAAAGAGGTAGCATAAGACAGGAGACGTGACACCATTTTGGGAGGACAAGGTGGCACAGACCAAGGGGATGGTGAATGACTCGCAGGTGGGAGAGGGAGGAAAAGTGAACGAGCTACTGGGGGATGGGGCGGCACAGCCAGAGGGAGAGGGACCGACCCAGGCTGCAAGCAGAAAGAGGCAACATCGAAGGGAGACCTCAGAGTGGTGGTGACACAGGCCAGGGAACGGAGGTGACTTGAGCAAAGGGACAAGAGAGAGGGGAACCCGAGGAGGTCAAAGAGAGGGGACTTTGCCCACTTTCCTCACCTGGATCCCGGAGACGGTGAAGTAGGGGATCTCAAACTTGACCCCGATGGGGGGCCGGCCCTCCTCCTCCTCTTTCTCCACGCTGGGGAGGCCAAAGTGGGCGCGCATCAGGTACTCCTTGCCCCCCTGAGGGCACATGGGGGCATCAGACACACCACAGGGTCCCCTACCCACCCCAAACCATCCTCACAGCAGCCCTCAGAGCAAGCTCCGCTCTCAGCCCATTTCACAGACAAGAAAGTAAAGGCTCTTGGCTTAGACTTACAGCAGAAGCTTCTGACTGCAAAACTCAATCAGTGGTGGTGGCAGGGTCTATCATCTCCTATTTCTCAGGCCCAATGACCCCCCCCCCAACCGCCAGCCCCACCAGATGACAGGGACAAACTAAATCTTCCAGTGGCCCAAGGACATAGATAACATGATCATGCCTATTTCACAGATGGGCAAACTGAGCCTCCCAAGACCACGCGGCTCAGAAAGGCAAGTGTGAGGAATCTGAACCTAGGGTTGGTTTCCTTAAGACCTTGAAGGGGGAGGCACTTTTTTTTTTTTTTTTTGAGACAGTCTCGCTCTGTCACCTGGGCTAGAGTGCCGTGGCGTCAGCCTAGCTCACAGCAACCTCAAACTCCCGGGCTTGAGCAATCCTCCTACCTCAGCCTCCCGAAGAGCTGGAACTACAGGTGGGCACCACGACACCCAGCTAATTTTTCTATTTTTTTTTTTTAGTAGAGACGGGGGTCTCACTCTTGGTCAGGCTGGTCTTGAACTCCTGACCTCAAGCGATCCTCCTGCCTTGGCCTCCCAGAGTGCTGCGATTACAGGCGTGAGCCACTCCACCCAGCCACGGGGGGAGGCACTTAACCCACTTCCCATGATGGAGCCTCACTTTGCCCATCTGTGACATAGACTGGCCTGGCTCCCGCCTTTGTCACTCCTGAAGAATAACCACGTGCACATGTGATGTGTGTGTGTGTCTCTCTGACTTATTCTCTGCCTTGACCTCATGCAGCTTGGGCAGCCCCCATACCACTCCAGTCCCCACTCCCAGTTCGCCCCCCTGTTTCCAGTGCTCACCGGGAAGGATTTAATACTCCAAATAACGACGTTCTTCTCGGGCACATACTTGGCGCTGCCCACGCTGGTCTTGAAGCGCGGGGAGTCGGCATCACTGGGGACGGGCACAGATATCTCCACGCCGTTTGCCACTGACTGCTTCTTAAACTGTCCCTTGGCCTGGCAAGGGAGAGAGCAAGGGACATGAAGAATTCATTCATGTTGGCTCAAACCTGTAATTCCAGCACTTTGGGGAGGCCGAGGCGGGAGGATTGCTTGAGCCCAGGAACTCGAGGTTACACTGAGCTATGATGATGCCACTGCACTCTAGCCAGGCCAACAGAGTGAGACCCTCGTAAATAAATAACCAAGCAAAAATAAATTAACTAATAGAGTGACCAGGGAAAGCCTCTCTGAGGTGTCAGAACTCTGATATTTTAGGTATCCAGATGGGTAAACAATTACTTCTTTCTTTCTTTATTTATTTATTTATTAAGACAGGGTCTCACTCTGTCACCCAGGCTGGAGTGCAGTGGCATCATCATAGCTCACTGCAGCCTCAAATTTCTGGGCTCAAGTGATCCTTCTGCCTCAGCCTCCCCGGTAGCTGGGACTACAGGCATGTGCCACCATGCCAGACTAAAATCGCGCATTGTTAATAAGTGTCCCCCCCAGGCCCACCTTGACCATGATTTCCACCCGGCTGTGCGAGAACTTCTCAATGACAGACTCAATCCAGATCAGCGGTTTGACCTGCAGACAGAGGAAGGAGGAGCTTTTAGAGGTTCAGGGGTCAACCCAGAGCCCCCACCAAATGCCATCTGCATGGGCTTGACCCTGCCTCACCTGCGTGCTCAGGCGGTAGGACATGAGCTCGAAGTCGCCGTCGGGAGGGATAAAGGAGATGGTGCGGTCATTGTCGAAGCGTGAGAGCCGCACGCACTGGTGGAATTTAACATCCTCCAGCTCCACCGACTTGTTCTTGCTGCCTGAAACTCGGAGCCCAGAGTGCAGAGTGACCCTGGGGGCCAGGAAAAGATCCCTATCCCCACCTTCCCTGCTCACCACTACCATAACCCCTATTTTACAGATGAGGAAACTGAGGCCCAGAGAGGATGAACAACAGCTGGCAGGGGCAGAGCTGGGATCCGAGCCCAAGGAGCCTCGCTTTTCCTGTCGGGCTTTTAAATGTTATTCTGTCTCCTTCTCTCACTAGAATGTCAGCTCCATAAGGTCAGGGATTTGTTTTTCTTCACCGCTGTGTCCTCAGAGCCTAAATCTGCGCCTGGCACACAGCAAGCGCTCAATCATGAACCAGCATTTGCAGTGAACCAGCAGCTGCAGTACTAGCCTTGACCAGCAGGGGGCACGCGAGGGCTTATTTCAAAACCTGCAGCAATTCTCTGGGTCCCCAGTGGGGGCGGGGCCTCCGGCTCCCACGTGGGCTCGAGGGACGGGGGGGGGGGGGGGGGTCCCCCAAATGCTTACGGCCAGTGAGCTCGAAGAGCACGCGGTCATTGAGGCCCAGCCGCAGCTCGGGCATTCCGGACAGAAACACCTTGAGCTTGATGGTGCCCGCGATCTCGCTCAGCAGCACGCTGCCATTGGCATTGACCTGTGTGCGTGGGTGTACACGGGAGGGCAACATGCACAAAGCCCCCTCTCCTGCTCCCAGGCCGCAGCGGGGTTGGGGTGCAGGTGTGGGGGCTCACCAACAGGTTGACAGACTCTATGACATCGATGAAGACCTCGTTCTTCTTGTACTTAATGCCCTCGGAGCGCCAAGACACAGCGTTCGTGACCGTGGGTGGCACCCGCGACTTGCCTGTCTCCAGCTTGTTGCCCTGCTGCGTGATGTACCTGGCAGGAGGGCAGCGGGGGACAAGCGGCTGGACCCAGGAGGGACACCTCCCTGGGCCTCCTTGAGTTCTTTCCACCCACCGCCCAGCCTGTGGCTGCCGGGTGGGTGCACTCACTCCTGCAGGATCTTGCTGTCGGTGGTCTGGGGGAAGCCGAAGTCCATGAGCTCATCCAGCAGCTCATAGACGATGACAAAGTTGTCTCGGATGCTCTCTTCCTCCAGCTCCTTGAAGTATTCGCAGAATACCTGGTTGAGGGTGACAGGGGGAGACAGACACTCACGTAGGTGTGGTTGGTGTGGCTATGGCCATGGGCTGGGTCTCCACTCATTCAGCCAGCCCATCCAACAAGCAATTATTGAGCACCTACTGTATGCCTGTGCTGGGACAGTCATCGTGAACAAAGCAGACAGGATCCCTGCCCTTATGGAGCAGTCTAAAGGGGTAAACGGGTAGGTAATGGGACCAATCTAATCCAATATGTTGGGTGCAGTAACAAACACAAGAGAGACAGAAAGGCCTGGGGAGACTTCTGGAAGGGGGCATTAAAAGGGTGGCTTTTAATCTTTTGTGTGTGGGGGGAGCACGGATCCCTGTGTATTTGGTGATGTTTACAGACCCACCTCAGACTGAAGTCTGTAAGTGCATAAAATACAACACACAGCATGGCCAAGGAACCCCATTATATGGAAACAGCCAAGTTCACGGATGTCCTGAACTCTATCCTCTGGCCATCGGCAGTCAGGGGACCCCAGGTTAAGAGCCTCTGGGAATGAGTAGGCGTAACCCCAGCAGAGAAACTGTCACTCATTCAACACTTTCCCCCCAGCTCACCTCACAGCGGGTGCCTTGTCACTCAAGCCTCAGCTCCAATGTCCCCTGTTGGATGAAGCCCTCCCCTCCCGTGAGAACAGCACACAAGTCCCTGGTTATCACAACGTGCTGTTTAATCTCCTTAATGCCCTTTAACTCTGCAGTACATTGTCTCATTCCCTCCATCAACAGTGAGCCAAGAGGGCCGGGATTTGCCTGTCCTGTGTCCACAGCCACGTCCCTGCCCTTGCCTGGCGGAGACAAAGTGAATCCATAAATATTTCTCAATTGTTAAAAATCATTTACTAAGGCCGGGCGCAGTGGCTCATGCCTGTAATCCTAGCTCTCTGGGAGGCCGAGGCGGGCGGATTGTTTGAGCTCAGGAGTTCGAGACCAGCCTGAGCAAGAGCGAGACCCCTGTCTCTACTAAAAAAATACAAAGAAATTAATCGGACAACTGAAAATATATAGAAAAAATTAGCCGGGCATGGTGGCGCATGCCTGTAGTCCCAGCTACTCGGGAGGCTGAGGCAGGAGGATCGCTTGAGCCCAGGAGTTTGAGGTTGCTGTGAGCTGGGCTGACACCACGGCACTCTAGCCCGGGCAACACAGTGAGACTCTGTCTCAAAAAAAAAAAAAAAAATCATTTACTGAATACCTTCTCAATCATCGACAATGGTATATAATAAGTCCTCAATACATTGGTATTATGTGATTATTGTATTTGTGATATGCTAATAGTAAACCTTTACTGAGCACTTACTGTATACTGAGCACTGTTCCACACACCATACGGGTATTGGTTGGATTAATTTGTAGAACAACCCCGAGGCAGCACTTGTTATAACTCAGTTTAAAGGTAAAGAGAGGAAAAGTGACTTGCTCAAGGTCACACAGCCAGGAAGTAGGGGAGCTGGGATTGAATCACTAGCTCTCTGGCTCAGTGGAGCCATGTCTCTCTCAGAGACCTCTTTGGTCCCCGCCCTATAGGGAGAGATGGTGTCCTAGGCAGCTAATGAGATACAGAGTGATGAGGCTTTGATGGGGAAAGGACAGGAAAGGCTTTCCTAGGAGAGATGGCTCCTGAAAGACGTGGCCAAGACAGGTGGACACACAGAGCAGCTGGCCAGTGGAAGGCCAGCACCTACCTCCACGGTCTTGTAGAGGAAGGAGTACACCAGCGAGGCGTTGGAGTTCTTCAGTGTGGTGGCCACCACTAGAGGCAGCGACGTTAAGGAAAAGGTGCCACTTGGGGGGACATACATAGAGTACAGACCCTGAACCTCCATCCTGTCCCCCTGCCACCACCCCCATCTCTACCTGCTTCCCCAGCCTGAGCCATCACAGATGTGCTGTGCAAATTCTATGCTCAGCTCACCCTCTCTGGGCCTGAGCTTCCACCATTCTGGACCTCCAGGGCCCCCGCCTTGGTGGATACAGTAGAGGTTGCTGTGTTTGATCCACAGGAAGTGGACTTTGCCGTGACTCAGCAGGGGGGCCAGGGCGCCTTCCTCTTCCCGCTGCACGAGCAGAGGCATGAAGTGCTCGATCTCGCTCATGGCCACGTCGCCCTTGTAGTTGCGGCTGATCAAGGGCTGAGGGTGGGTGGACAAGATCCGGTCACCGCCAGCGTCCCGGAACCTGCCACCCTGGGGCTTCGGAGTGCCCAGGTCTGAACCCCACTTCCCAGCTGAGCGGCTTGGGTAAGGCTCTGCCACTCTGTGCCTCAGTTTCCTCCCCTGTAAAATGGGTGAGTGATAACAACAGCTAATGTGCGCAGACCCTCGCTGAGCCCCTGGCTGTGTTCTGCTGAAGACTAGATGTTTTCTACCTTGTTAGTTCTCACCACGACCTTGTGAGGTCTGGTTATCGGGTGTCGTCATCACCTCCATTTTACAGACAGGAAAGTTGAGGTTATAAACCACATCCCACATTCCTGGGAAACCAGGAATTCGACCAAGGCACCCTGGCTCCAAAATCCCTGTTGTTGCTCCAGGCTTCGTAAGCACCAAACTGGTGCTGTTGGGATTATTTACACATGCACACACACAGAAAAAAAAAAGAAAAATAATATATATACACACATGCACATATATGTATATATATGTATATATTTTTTTTTTTTTTTTTGAGACAGAGTCTCGCTCTCTTGCCTGGGGCGAGTGCCGTGGCGTCAGCCTAGCTCACGGCAACCTCAAACTCCTGGGCTCAAGCGATCCTACTGTCTCAGCCTCCCGAGTAGCTGGGACTGCAGGCACACACCACCCTGCCTGGCTAATTTTTTCTAACTTTAGTAGAAATGGGGGTCCCCCTCTCAGACTGGTCTAAAAATCCTGACCTCAAGTGATCCTCCCACCTCGGGCTTCCCAAGTGCCCGAATTACAGGTGCGAGCCACTGCACCCAGCAGGTCCTCAAACATCTTGGCTCTGACTATCATTATTTGCAGAAATATTATTTCCATCACCAGTTATTATTGCTGTTAAAGGACAAGATGAATGAAGGGGGCTTCAGGGAGGCAGCCCCAGAGAGGAAGTAGGGCCTCCTGGCCCGGTTCCCTCCCCCAGACTTTAACACTGTGGATGCTTACCGTGATGGAAATACTTTCAATTAACTGAACGCCTAATGCTTGCAGCAGGGCTATTATGCTAAGTGGTTCACACGCATCCGGTTGTATTCGTGCTCATTGGGTGCGGATCTCTGTTATTCCCACTTTTACATACGGGGAAACTGAGGCTCAGAGAGGTGAAGCCCCCTGCCCCCGGCACACAGCTAAGAGGTGAGATTCCACTGGGGACTCCTAAGGATTGTGGGGGTGGGGCGCGAGAGGGGCGTCCCCACGCCCCTTTCTGGGGCTTCCCGGGCCTGGGCGGAGGGGCCGCCCCTGGATCCCCCGGAGCGCGGCCTCACCTGTCGGTCCCCCAACCCCTCACGCCCAGCCTCACCTTGCCCTTGACGTCGAGAATGAAGACGGCCGAGGCGGACATGGTGACGGCCGGCGGGCCTAGGAGGAGGGGAGGGAGCGCCAGGAGGCGACGGTGGCGCCGCTTCCTTCTTCCTGCGGAAGCGCCCGCGCCCAGGTGAGCAGCCAGGTGTGTGCGTCTTAAAGGGGAGGACTCCAGGTGAGCAGCGCTGTCGGCGGACGCGAAGAGGGCTGCGGGGGTAGTGGGCGGGCTGGGAGGGGCGCGACTTGGGATGGGACAGTCGGCCTGCCTCACTTTCTCAGGAATGCTGATGGGCAGAGACCCCAGCCCAATCAGCTATTCATTCATTCACTCATCCATTCATTCATTCACCCATTCATCCATTCAGCCATTCAGCCATTCAGCCATCCATCCGTCCATCCATCCA